AAAGAAAAAGAATCATTGAAAATGTTAAATATTTCACTAAATCCATAATCCGATATTTGTATTTATCCCCATTATCCCCGATAGTCGGAATCGTAATTACTAATTAGTACGAGTAAGCTTCACACCTCACGGTGCTTTTGTTGAACAAAAAATTACCACTGAACATCCTGAGGGTGTTTTTGAATTACCAAAAAATTACCACCGACTTGGATTGAATGCTAGGAAGACGATCAACCACTGCTGATGGTCATGGATGTGATCACCTTTTTCTTTAATGGGGTATTCAAATGGATCCTTAAGATTCAGAATTCAATATCAAGGACGCCGCTTTTCAAAAAAAAAAAAAAAAAAAAAAAAAAACATTGTACATGAAGAGCTACATGTGTGTATCACTCAGCCATAAGGCTGGGTAGGATGTCAGCACATTTGGACGAGTGCGGAAATTTCTGGAATGTGGGAGTATTTATTTTGGGGAGCCAGCAAGGGGGTTTTCATGGACATAGGTGTATGGGTTTAACGGAACAATATGTATTATGTACGTATTGGGCCTTTTTTTCCTGCACAACATTTGACACGTATCTGGGCAGATAGTGGAACAGATGCATTTGGAGTGATTCAACAATATGAATGTTCTGAGACTAGTGACCTGTCCAGATACATTTAGAGTGTTGGCTATAGTGGAATGAGTGAGGCCCATCGTTGTGATTCGAGCAACAGTGTGATGAATGTTGGACGTCTGGACGTCTCCGATCTGCTCAGTCGCCACCGCTCTACTACACAACATTCTACATGCATCTGGAAAGATAGAGGACCAGATGCATTTGGACTACAGTAGTCATCTGTCCAGATACATTTAGAATTTTGCTTATAATGGAATGAGGTCCATTGTCAATGATTTGAGCAACTGTCTGATGAATGCTGGACGTCTCCAATCTACCCCGGTGCCAATCCAAAGAAAACCTTCACTCTATACTGTCTTCCGTTGAATAGAGTGTACGGTCATTATATCCGTATTTGGACGGACTTTCAATCCAGATGCAGGGAAAACGAAAGTACGTTCTATTGGGGTGAAGACGGTAGTCCGTCGTGAAACCGTGAAACGGTGAAGCTTCTGACAACCTGTGGATAACGTCTTTTTTGTGCGGCAGGTAAATTCCGCGAAATATACCAATACGCATTCGGCTTTGCAAAAGAGAAGGTGAGCACTGAACACTGTGTGTGTGGAGAGTCTTGCTCTGCTTTGATGTGGTTCGCACATTGTTTTCCTAATTCTTTCGGGACAGCTTGTCTGAAATTCTGAATTCATGTCCCTAATCCTGAACCGGAACTGGCTAACCGCTCTCATACGAGCAAAGTCTTTCATTATTATGTTTTTTTTGTTGATGCGGAGAAGAAAATGTCGGGTAGGGGACATGCTGACAGGCGCAGAATTTATGCCCCAGCTGGGCATGACTTGGTGTGCTGTGTGGACTGCACAGGTGGGACTTTTCCCCCCCCAAAAAGTGGAGGCTGGTTGGAAATCCACCTTTTTGCAAAATATTAAAAACAGATGAGAAAGCTCTGGACTTATGGCTAGGATCTATAGATTCTATAACTGAGCAGTCAGGCTTTGGCTTCAATTATGGTCATTGTTCATCCACGGGACAACTACAGTCTTCCCCCGAATACAACGCACGGTCATTATAGCTGAATTTAGACTGAAAGATACACCAAATTCAGTTGTAATGACAACGTTGTATTCGGGGGAAAACTGCAGGGTGTTATGAGTTTGCGATGGCTATCCACCTGTATGCATATGGGAAGCCTGATGTGCTTGACCTTTTGTCTGTTCAGGGGCAAAAATCGCTTGCGCTGGACACAGCAATTGGCATGTGGCGACTTCTGTTTGCGGAGCGGCCATGGCCTTTGGTAGACCAATGGTGTCAATTTCTCCAGGTAAGGGCCTTTTTTTTTTCTTTTTTTTTTTTTGGTATCGAGAAGCCAAAGGCAAACGTGAAAAGAACTGCGGGAAAATCAATCTTTGCTTCAGGATTGGTTTCGGAGCTGCCATAGGGTCAGTCATTCACAATGAAGGGGGGCAAAGTATTTGGCTGTGTAGCACACCGAACGTGTTGGGGGCTTTCGCAAACGCCCAAACATGTTCGGGTGTTTTGGTCGAACGCCTTGCGAACGTGTTTTGAAAATATCATTTAAATATGTTTCTTACTGATTTTTTTTTTATTTTTATTTTTTTGGCTCCAGGGCAAAAGTTGTTTGTATTATTATTTTACATAACATTCAGTTTTTTAAAGATTTTTCTGAGACTTTTTTTTTTTTTTTTCTATTTTTTATGTTCGTGTTCGGAGGGTTTTGGGGCTCGGTTCGCGAATGTTCAGGTTCGGTCACCAAATGCAAACACGATGCTACACAGGTATCTGGGTTCCAACGCATGTCTTGTGCGATTCTTATGGCACACCATGGACACAGATCATGTGGATGTGTTGTATGCTGGCAAAGGGCATGTGGTGTCTATGCACGAACCCTAAAGTCATCCTTTATCTGCCCATTCATCCTCCCCATACCCCCCAAACCCCTATTTGGTCCCACTTTGAGTACGTGGTTTAGTGATGGTTGGTGCTTGTGCTGCCCACCAGAGTCTGAAAGTCATTAGCTGTCTTCTCAGGCAGGATAGCACTTTAGATGAGAGAGGAAGGAAGAGAAAGAGGAAGGGGGGACGAGAGGATGTGGTAGACATGGAGATGGGAACGAGCGAGAAGGAAGGAAGAAGAAGCAGATAATGATGGGAGTAAGGAGGAGCTGGAGGATGAGGTATGGGGGCTGGGCTGGATGTGTGATGGGGTAAATATTGGGTCAAAAGTTCCACTGCAACGGTTGCCCGTTCACCCGTCCAGTCTACTAAAGTGCCCACCAAACCGTGCAAGATGTCGTACGTCACACGGCTTTCCAACTTGAGTAATGAATAACCTCATGCATGATGGACGACTCCAATCAGGAAGTCGCCCGATGTCATACAGTTATGATTCCGGCGAGTTTCTTCGAGTGTCTCCAACCACTCGGGTCAGACCTTTCTGCTCGAGCGAGCCTCTATGAAGAAATGTGTCTCGAAAGAGCGAGCTGGGAGTTTGGATTTCGGAACCTGGTTACCATTGCACTTCAACCATTGCGTGGTTTCTTTAGGTCTTTGCCTGTGGGGTATGTGCAACAGTGGTGCACCGGTTTTGCAGTCGGAATGGAGGAGAATGGGAGCAAGTAAAACCGAGGAGGATAAAGACAAACAATCAGAGCAAGAAGAGGAGGACAGAGGAAGGGGTGTGATTGCATGGAGTTTTGAGGACAAGGAAGACAGAGTGGGGCTGAGTGGGAGGGAGAGGAGAGGAAAGCGGGGGTAGGGCTGAGCACAGGTTTGCAGCATGTCCTGGCATATTCATTCTAGAGCGCTAGCTGAACTGTCCACGTGCACATTGGCTAGTTGAATGATGTCATTTCTTACCCTGTTGGCGATGAAAAGAAGGGGGGGGGGGGGCGGTGTTGGAGATTGTGAGGTGAGAATCCTTTTGATTGGGAGATGCGGTGGAGTTGTTTCACAGGGATTATGAACAAATAGTCATAAGACTCTTTGATTGGTCCACACTTGCAGCCATTGACGATGCTGTGCATTCGGTTATTCATTGCTCGAGTTTGTCTGCACCGTATTAATCTTTGCATTTTCCGGCAGACATTTTCAGGTATTCACTCTAGTTTTGTACTCCGGATTGATCTTTGCGTTTTTTCTCCCTAAAAAAATGAGACCCAAGTTGTTTTGACAGTTTCTGAAATCCTTACCTACTTTGGGAATTGAACCCCCCCAAAAAGATGCATTGGGAGGACAGCATGGTTTTGATTTTTTGACGATGTGCTTCATAAGGACGTCCCATGGTTTCCTTTGGGACATCCGTTAAAATTGGAACAATACAGAGAAGATTAGCATGGCCCCTGCGTGCACAGATGAGATGCAGAAATCGAGAAATGGTCCAAATGCTTTTTTTCTTTTTCTTTTTCTTTGTAGACGAATTCCGAAGGAATGAAAAGGCTTTGACAAGTTTTGTCTGACTCATTTTGCTAATCTTTTGTCACTGTTTCTGTTTCTGTTTCTGTTTCTGTTTCTGTTTTTCTGCTGTTCTTCATGAACTGAATCACCTGCAGCTTAAACATAACAAAGCGATATCAAAGGATACTTGGTGTCAGCTCTGGGAGTTTGCAAGGGTGAGAAGTTACTCAGAACCTTGCGACCGACCGTTTATCACACACACCTTTGTACACGACACTGCTGTTAATCGTAGAATGCAGACTCGTTATCTCCGCATGAAAAAGTGTTGATCTGTGCTCCACATGGCAAATCATGCTTATGTTCTTTCCTTCCCTCTGTTTCTCTTCCACTTTGTGACAGATGTCATCCAAGTCTATTGCGGTCGTGGTCAGGTGTGATGTCAAGAACAGAGAGTTCAATTCGTGCGGTATCTTGATGCCATGATATCTCTATGATTACGCCGAACCTGAGGCTTGAGCACTTGACTGCGTGGCCGACAGTACTTTAGGCAGCAGTGCAATGTTTATGCCCAAACTGAGGCTTGAACACTTGACCTTGAGTAGTAGTGGCCCTGCATTTTGAGTAGTAAGGCAGGAGTGCAATAGTTGCTGATCTGTGTAAACATGCCCAAACTGGGCCTTGAACGCTGGACCTTGCTTAGTAGTGGGCCTGCATTTTAACTTTTAAGTAGTCCAGTTGGACTCGATAGTGTACCACATTTGTAATGGGCCTGCATTTTACATTTTATCCTTTGCATGCTCTGTTTGGGGGGGTTCCACCAGCGAACGCCCCCAAACAGCGAACGCCTTGGGGCGCCTTGGGTTCCACCAGCGAAAGCCCCCAACATCTGCTATAAGCTGTCAATCCACAGCGAACGCCCTGAAATGTCAAGGCTTATAGTTCCAGCCGCCTATGTCAAGGCTTGTGGTTCCGGTCACAAGTCACAGATTGCGGACGCACAAATTACTTAAGTAACAAATCGCCAGTCAAACCTTCTTGTCAGGGCCAATGTCAAGGCTTATAGTTACATCCGCCTATGTCAAGGCTTATAATTCCGGTCACAAGTCACAGTTGGCGGGGAAAACTGACTTCTGCATCGTACGCTACAATTTGCCGTGGTTAGGAGCTTCAGTCTTGCAATGGGCCTTGAACACCGCAAAAGCTCATGTCATTTCAGTCTTTCTCCAGGCAAGTAAGCGTCGGCTCCAGTCTGTATCCAGTTGAAGCTCCTTACGGGCTTACCTCGATATGGTGCTTCGGTAGTAGGTATGGTGCAATTTGTACTCCTGCTGCTCAAGGCCATCATTTATTGTGCCTGTTGCGAAACTGATAGATGAACGGTTAACGCCTACAGCTTTGTAGGCACTTTGCGACTCCTCGTCCAGTTTAAGTTGTAGGACCTCGGTCCACTGCTCGAAATTGTATATGCATTGATGTGTCGGGACGATTGTGAGGTCCCGATACATGTAGAGTGTTGTGTAGTGGAGCGTGGCCAGCGATTGTGAGCTCCGGATACATATAGACTGATGTGTAGTGGAGCGAGGCCCATGGTTTTGTGAACTCCAGATACATATAGAGTGTTGTGTAGTGGAGAGAGGCCCGTGGTTTTGTGAGCTCCAGACACATATAGAAAGTGTTGTGTAGTGGGGCAAGGCCCATGGTGTTGTCGATATTTGGGACCGGTTGGAACCTTTTGGGACAATCTGAAATTTGTTGCCTGGAATCTGTAATGGTTGGGAATGTGGTCACACCGAGCTGCCTGGAAGCAGTTCAATGTCATGTGCGCCTTTTGCTGCGTGTCTGTGTCTAGTGATGCCGCATCGTGCCTTGTGAGATAGGCATGCCTTGTCGTTGTTCATTTTGTGCACTCGTTTGGCTTTGTTTTCTGACATCTTCTGATGACTGGCTTCTGCTTCCTTCATTTTTATTTTTTTTCTGCAGACAATTGATCCTAGCATGTCAAACTATGACGTCGAGGGTGCGTGGCCATACCTCATTGACGAGTTTGTGGAGTATATTCAACAGTCGAACCCAGCGTCAGCCACAACTTAGAGGAGTTATACGCAAGCGTAACGCCTCGTTCAGTGCAATGGACCGTGGTCTTGAAGCTTCTCACTGCCTTGAAGAGGACATCAAGTGCTGTTTATGATGGTGATCTTATGGCAAACCCAGGTATCCAGAATTCATCTGTCACTGGCAGAAACTGGGTAAGAATTTTGCTGAAGTGCTTGTGTGTGTGGGCATGTGACATGCTCTGTGTGTGCTGTGTGTGTGTGTGTGTGTGTGTGTGTGTGTGTGTGTGTGTGTGTGTGTGTGTGTGTGTGTGTGTGTGTGTGTGGAGGGTGGGGCGGGGGGGGGGGGACCTTGAAGGAGAGAGAGAGAGAGAGAGAGAGAGAGANGAGAGAGAGAGAGAGAGAGAGAGAGAGAGAGAGAGAGAGAGAGAGAGAGAGAGAGGTCTGTGTCCATGTGTGTGATGTCACAGAGTGAGTGTATGGGTGCAGGAGTAGAGAGTGAGTGTATGTGTGAGTGTGGGGGCTTTGGTGTGGTAATGTGTATGCCACTCAGTTGTGGGTGTGGGTGTTCAGGTGCGCCTCGATGTATCTGTGGATCGATGATTGAGGATGTTTCTTTGTACTCTTGCTATTCACTATCTAGAGGAGTAGGAATTCAGAGTTTAGGTTTTCATGTTTTTAGAGTGATAGAAGGCAGAGACAAAAAGGTGAGAGTTCAGGGCAGCAAGGCTGCGTTGCTGGTGTGTCAAAAGAGAGCATGAGCCAGCGGATTACAATGTATACGTCATTCATTTGTGGATGATGGGTTGATGCACAGCACTGTGAGTTAAAGGAGGTTGTGGCTTATTTGTGCATTCCATCTTTCAAGTAGCTAGACACTAGTAGGAATTGGTTCACGTTCTTTGCGTGATTGCCCTCCGTGTTCTGGCCATGCTTAGCTGTCACATCTACCACCATGGTCTAGACATGATATCTCTGCGATTTGTGAATATGCGGCTTCTTGCTTGAAGTTCCTTGTAGTTCGAAAGGATTTACTCGTTGTCATGTCTGACGGGAAGGATTGCCTCTCTGCTAGGCTGCAGCAGCTTCTAGGTTGGTGTATGGAAAATTTATGTGTGCATTTCTTCTCCTTTGTCTGAGTTCTGTCTTCTTTCCACTCAAAGCCCGCTTTCCTGTCGCTCCCATTGCGGATGTGTCCCCATTTCCCTCTTCGCAATCGGTACTGTAACTTTCCCTCTTTCCTTGTATGCCCTCAGACTCTATTCATTTGTGGTCGTGGCAACGGCGATAGGAGGTGTGAAGATGCTTCTCTTCTGTTTAACGAAGGTCCGTCAAAGTTTGTCCCCATGATATTGCTTTGTTGCTGTGTTATGGTTGAATTACAATTGACTGTCGCAAAGAGTATTCTTAGAGTCGTGCTTCCTTCCACACATTAAGCGGAAGTTGTTTAATTGAGTGCCAATTCAATGCATGTTTGCATGTTGGATTTTCACAGCACCCTCTGTGTGTGTGTGTGTGTGTGTGTGTGTGTGTGTGTGTGTGTGTGTGTGTGTGTGTGTGTACAGCAGCTTGTGTTTTGCTTGCTTCTCTATGAAGATGCTGCCCTTCAGTTTTTTTATGGGAAGGATATCCCCATGATATTGCATTGCTGCTATCAGTGCTGTGTCACGGTTGAATTATAATTTACCCGCCGCGAAGAGTGTTCTCTTAGAGCCGTGCTTCATTCCACACTCCGAGGGGAAAATTCATTTAAGAATCAAGTCTGTGCATGTTGGTTATCACAGCACCTTTTCTCTGTCTTCTCTTCTCCTCGCAACCCCTCCCTCCCTCCACCATTCTCTCTTATCCCTTTGCTCATTGCCTTTTCTTGAGCTCATTGTTGGTACCCAATGTAACCTGTTGACCCTCAGTGTATTGCCTATCAGTGTCGAACCGTCCTTTCTCTCAGTCAGTTGATTTTCAGCCAACAGTCATCATACATAGCGAAGACGGGACGGGGTTCAATTTACCACCATGTTGAGTATTATGTAGGCCACAGCCCTGGTTCTGTTCTGGCTTTTAGACCACCAGTACTTGGCCCAGCTATCGGCCGCGGAAAAAAATAGAGTAGAAATGTTTCTAGTTGGATGAATTTGGGCGCTCCTGTAGTGGCCCGCCCGTACGTTCCTAAAATCGCGTAGCGTTAACACGCACGACTTTAGCAAGTACTGGTGGTTTAATAAGCTACCGCATGAGAGGTGGGATAGGAAGCGAAAAGAGTTAATTCACCGAACGGTTGTCCTTGAGCCGGGAGCAACCACTTCCGTACAGAATGAATCACCTGGTCCTGTGTTTGGTGTGGCCATTGATATATGGTGTGAATGGCACCTCGTCTTTACGATTATTTTCAGCACCTGGTCATGTTCCATGCTTGAGTGCGGCATTCTTCTAAGTGTTGGTTGATGGTTCGGTTGGATGTGATTGTGTCGAGAATGCTGTGCGCTTGAACCATCCTTCATTTTATGACAGCCGTGGTCTTGAGGAGACCCATCCTTTTTCAATTGTTGAATTGACGATCCTACCCCCGCCATGTTCCTTTACCTCTCTGCAGGGGCTGGGGTGATGCTTTCGGCCGAAAGCCGCCGAAGTGGTGGTTTGAATGGACTGACAATTGGATGATATCCCTCCCTCCTTGTCCAGGTTGTTGAAAATATCCTTGAGCATGTGGTTTTGAGGAGGCCCACCCTTCTTCCGTTGGGTTGAATTGACGCTCGTTTTCTTCTCTCTCCTGCAGCGGCGCACCTGATTCGGTAAGAGGTGACGTCTGTGTTTAAATGGTCTGGCATTTTTGGATTCTATGTTTTGCTATCCCTTTTGAGTCCCGTTTGTCGAAAATATCCTTGAGCACCAGGCAATCCTTGCACTCCATTATGCTTTATTTTTTTTATTTTTTTTTTACAAGCATTTAGCTTTTGAGAGGATGCATGACTGTTTTGGGGGTGATTAAATGCTGCCTGTTCTAGCTGCTTGTGATGAAGAACCCTTGCGTGTATTCGTTGGCTTACCGCTGCGTCCTTTCTTTTGGCTGGCACTCCCAGCCAACCGCTGAAACTTGCGACATGCATACAGCTGCGTTCAACTTGGAGAAAAATGACAGGGAAACGTACGTTATGTCTTGGCGCAAACGAGTTTGCGGCCTCAGAGGGAGGCTCAGGTAGCCCCGGCAAAAGGTAAAAGACCTACCACAGGCTTGGCTATGCTTGTTGAGTTGCTTTTTGTTGCTGCGCTTTGCTATCGCCTGTACTTTGATCGTTGTATCTGCCCTGGCTTCAAAACTTAGGTCTCGCCGACAGTCTTCTTGCAATCGTGCCACGCACAGGCGGCCCCTTTCACATATCGCTGGCTGCCTTCTCGCGACGCTACGATAGTAGTGGGGTTGGCCGAGTATTTTTTTAGATGCAGGCCCTCAGAGGATTGATCTTATCATGCTTACCATCTAGTAGTATGGTTGGGTTGAAGCCTAGGCTACCAGCTGGGCCTCCCCGGATCACCTTGTTTCCCCTGGCGTGCGAGGCGAAAAACGAAGGTCCCACCACCCAAAAAGAAAAAATCTGGAAAAAAAAAAAACTATGTTATGCAAAAAAATAAACTGAACAACTTTTGCCGCAGGGTTACATCGAAATTCTTTACCAGGCCCGGTCGGGCCAGTGGTCCCGGGCCTCTCTGGTAGCCTAGGCCCTAGGCCTAGGTTGAAGCTGAACAACGGCATTCGGCGACTTTATGGTACATGGCGAGACGTCTTCAAAGCTATGGACATTGGACTCCCTGATGGATCTCCAACTGCTCAAGGAGCAGCATGACATGGAGTTAGCGGGGTGTTAAACCGCCAGTTCCATCCTCCCAGGCATTTTTTTCCCAATGTGCATTTTTACCCTTTGCTCCCCGTTATACCCCTCAGGCCTCTCTTTCTTGTTCTTTCTTGACATCATAACCCTTTGCTTCCCGTTATACCCCTCGTCATGTGTCTGCCTCCACAAGTTTCTTCCACTCCCTCATAATCCTTTATGCAGGTTTGCCCTCAGATGATCTGCCCGGTGGCAAGCAGCGAAAAGCGCTTCAGGAACAGCGACACCCTGATGTATGCCCAGAGTGTTGGATCATCATTTGTGTTGCATGTGGGCGGATCTTGGGACCACCACAACCATCCCCTATCCCCTTTCACCTTCCCCCGCTCCCTTCCGTAGAATGCTCTTTGAGTGAGAGTGGTGAGATTACTTTTTTTTGTCTTTAAACCACCGCTACCTTTCTCAGTGTTGGGAAACATGGGAATTTATGTCACACTGCATTTTTCGGGGGCTCCGCGGAGGCTCGGCGGCTTGAAAATGTTCGGGCCCTATAAACCCGCTTGGAAAACGAGAAAATAAAGACAAAAAACACCAGTACTTGGCAGCCCTGTTTTTTGTGTTTTTTTTTTCGTTTTCCAAGCGGGTCCATAGGGCAGCGGGTGGATATGGACTGCCAAGTACTTGTGTGAGTATGCCTTCAGCGGGTCCGACTCGCACAAGTACTTGGCAGTCCGTATCCACCCGCTGTCAGCGCGAAAGAGTCGTTTCTTTTTTCTTTTCTTTTCTTTTCTTCTCTCGTGCATGGACCACCGCCGCTGTAATGCCACACTATTTTCTTTTGGAATGCAACACCTTTTTTTTTTCCTTTTTTTTTTGCATGCGAGTACCAGGAATCAAAGCAGAACGGCACCCCGGCTCGGCAGAACTCGGCACACAGTGAAAATCAGGGTCGGCAAAACCGGGCTAGGAGGTAGTTGTGGTTTAACCTCACTCTTTTTTTTTTTCATTGTTTGTTTGTTCCTTTTGCCAAACTACACTTGAAGTGGAAATCCTTCCTCTCTTATTTGTACGAAACGAAGGAAAAAATAAAATGGGTATCCCTGTTTTCATGTAGTTGCGAGAGGTCTCGCTCGCTCTTACTATGCTTTGGGAACTACCGGTCTTCACCCGAACAAAATGCCCGGCCATTATCGCTGCATCTGGTCTGAAAGTTGCCCCCGAGTACATTATCGCTACATCGACCGGAAGTTCTATTTGGGTTAAGGCGGTAGTGTTGGAAGGAATCGTCGACTCTCATGGAGAAGAATTCCCTTGAGACTAGTTGCACTACTTGCCGTCCACCAAAATTGTGAACGAATGTCTGCAGGAAATCCGTCCTGATGCATTCAAAATGTGGGCAGATGGCAAGTTGTGCGACTACCATCTTCAACCAAATGGAATGCCCGGTCATTATAGGTGCATTTGGCCCAGCTTTCAGTCCAGATGCAGCGATAATGACTGGGCGTTCTATTCGGGTGAAGACGGTGGACGCGTTTCCCCAGGAGCAATTCTGACGACACGTCCTTCGTATCTCGTGGACGGGAATGGATGGATTAGAATCGTCGAGAGTGCATTATGCGGTGGATCTTGAAATCAAAAGGAAATACCTTTTCTCAGTATTTTGGCTAAGATCAAGTGCAATGCATCTGTTCTGATCAGTTTATAATCTCTGATCCATGGTCCATCGGGCCACATAAAAAAGGAAAAAATGAAAAGGGGAAGCGGACCCTCTCATCGCCCACCCGTCGAATGGGTTGTGTACTAAGACAAAGGGATATTATCATATTAGTCTGTTTTTTTTGGAGTTTTCCTGGAAACACTAGCACCTCCTACACCTGATTAATATTTACCAATTTTCTTGTGCGCTCTTCTAAGCGCAAAAACCACCAACGTTGCAATATTCCCCCCACGGTGCAAACTGCGACCTACCTCCTGCGCGTTGCAAGGGATTACAGGTCCACAGCTACCCGCGTACAGACACTTCAATGCACACACACCCCTTTCTTTTCTTTTTCGTTTTTTTCCCCCCCCTGCTATTATATCTCTCGTTCTTTTGTCTTTTTTCTTGGGTCGGGGCGGTGCCCGCGCACCTTCATGGCAACCCACAACCCCTTCCCAAGTGCTGATCAATCAATCAATCAATCAATCAGTATCGATGCATCGTACACCGGTGCGAGGATTTCAGAGAATTAGGGGATTGCTGGTTTCACAGACACTTCAACGATTCGAAAACAAATATCGAAATCGACGAAAACCGCTCCAACCCCTCTCATATCCCTGTGAAGGTTTTTCCAACAGGAGTAAAGGCGGGTGAGGCGGCTGTTCCATTGACGGAATCTGGCATGCTTTTGTGCATTT